AAAGGACGAATTGTCACTTAGTGACATGGAACCTCCTCATTAGGGCATCCTTCTCTCTTCCTTCCTTGCTGATCAGCGCCCCTCTTCACCTCCTATCTCTCTAAATTTCAAATTTTGAAAACTCTCTCACTTCTCTCTAAGATTTCTTAACCTAAATCTCTCCAAACCCCCAAACTTCCTTCACAAAGATTGTTCCCCTCACTCTCCTCTCTACAAACATACCATTTTTATGGTGTGAGTCAAAAATTTCGCACCCCTTATCATCCCAAATAGCCACGGTTTTGTGAAGAGTAATGGCCATGGAGTTGTGTTCTTAAGCCCTCTTGAAGAACCACACTTGCTTGCTTGTTTCCTTTGATTTTTGGGTAAGTGTTATTGAATGTTTCATGAAAAATCTCATCTTTTACTCTTGTGTTCTTGAACTCTAACTCATGAGCATGTTCATGAAGGTTTGTTCTTGCTTAAAGGAGGGTTCTTGGTGGAAAAAAGATGGAGCCTTAAGCTAAAGGAGGAATCTTGAAGATGTAAGCTTCCATTGAGCAAAATAACTCAAAAAAGCCTTCCCTTTTGTGCCTAAGAGTGCCACGATTTTGTGATGTTATTAAGGAATATTGTTTAAAAAAAATTTATGTCATGGTTTGATGATGATCCTTAAGTGTGTGTGTGTGTGTGTGTGTTTTGAACCATGGAATAATGGATTGGATGACTAAAGGTGTCACCTTTGGACTTTGAGTGATGTTCATGTAAAAAGATGAATATGAACCCTAAAAAAGACCATGAACATTTCGGCCATATCATGTAAGGATAGGGTTTGATGATAAAATAATGTGATTAAGTTGTTAAGTGTGGAAAAATGATTAGAAAGATTAACTAAGTGGGTTACTCTAAGTAAAACTCACTAATCATGATTAATAATGGCTAAAAACCCTAATTAGCTTAACTAATCAAATCTGTCCCCTTAAGTATATGAGGTTTAGTTGTGTTAAAATTAAGGAGATGATGAATTAGTGGATTAATTAAGGATAGAGATTAATTAGCTAAAGAAAGGATTAAGAAATAAGCTTAAAAACCCTAATTAGCACACTAATAATTCGGCCATGTATGCTTAAGATAGGGTCACTATGTTAAAATTAATATTAAGACCTAATTAGGACATTAATTTAGGGGTTAAGTGAAGTGGATTTTTCATAATACACTAATTAAGAATTTAACTCTAAAATTGGACTAAAGTAGGGTTTAGGTACACTAATTGAGTAATTAGTAAAATTTAAATATCATGACATAATGGGACTAAGTATATTTCATTATGTGACTTAATAATAGAAAAATCCAAGAATTAAAGTGAATTAGGATTTATTATCAAAAGTAATTAAGGTTTGTTAAGTAAACACATTTAAGGCTAAATAACCCGTTTTTAGGCTAACTTGGGGAGAGCATATCTGAGGTCATATAGGGTTGTGCCTTATAAAAAAATTGAAGCTTGACATGTTAGCTATGTGGTGTCAAAATTTGGTACCAATTGAAGATGTATTCCATTCTGTATGTTCGTTTGAGTGAGGACTGCCCAGGGATGTCATGTGCAGGGGCTGTACATGGCTGCAACTTCCACGAATTGTTTCTTCCTCTGTTCTTACTCAAATTAGGCTCATAATATATCTATTTAAAGCTAAAGGTGTCTAGTTGTCCGCATAAAAATTTGAGAGTAATGGATTTAGTATATGTTCCAGAATCACAGAAATGGTAAAGGATGTTTAGGGCCCTGTTCGGAGTTGGCAAACAGCTTTGCTTGTCCAACTTCAAATGGTGATAACCGGAGATAGGAAATTCCAAATGAGGCATGTGATACCTTGTTGGAAATTTAATTGAGTCTTGATTAACATACTAAAAGATGAGAATTTTATAATAAGTGAGTTTCTCTCAGTGACTAGAAAATAAAAGCATGTATAATGATGGAAAAACCGTAAAAGTGATATTTAAGCTAAGTGGGCTTAGGGGAACCCTTAGTAACTTATAATAATCATAAATATGGATGGATGAGTTGAAAATAATCTAAGTTACCTAAGTGATCCTTGCATATGATTCTAAGCTATGTAAGTAATTGAAGATTAAAGCGGCTTGTAATAATGCACTAAAATATGTTATAAGAAATAATTGGTCTAGACTTGTAATGGGCATATTATTGGCATATGAGTATGAAAAGTGGAATCATTAAATGATTAAGTCGTGGATATGACTTGATGAACTAATATGTAATTAATAATGTGACTGGTTCCTACTCTAGGTGCGCCTAGAGAACAGTGCACTTGAGGATTTTGTTGGAGCATACGTATTATATTGTAGTGTGGGCTTGTGCTAAGCTCCTTGAGGTAAGCTCCTAGTTCTAGTTGCATCCTCTCTCTTGTGGCTCCACCATGATTGTGGGCATTATGGTTGTATTGCACGAGAGTATATGATATGATGTATATGTGCATTCATTCACATTTATATAGATGTTATATGATTCTTGATGTTATGATGATGCACTGATGATATATGTTATGAGAATCCTGGCCAGTGATTATAGTATGTAGGCTGCCTATGACTTGACTCTGGGAGGTATTTTATACAGAGGTTGTGTTGATTGTCTATGGCTTGACCCTGGAGTCACACATGTGTAACCGTCTATGGCTTTGACCCTGGGGTTACACAAGGATGATATGATGATGCTATATTTATGCTGTATGCCTGTATTATATGCTTTATATCTGACTTGTCATACAGGAAGTGGGCTCATGGGATTAGAGGATCCTCTATGAACCTTGAGCTTACTGAGATATTGTTATCTCACCCCGTTTAGGGACATCATTTCAGGTACCCAGAGTAGTGGTGATGCTTCTAGGGGTAAGGCCCCTGCAGTGGAGTAGTTGATAATGCAGCTGATGATTTTATATTATGTTTAGACTTGATGTTGGCATGTAGACTTGTTAACATGCTGAATTATTTTATGGAGATTATTGTATGTATTTATTTATGCTCATGATTGTATCCTTAGAGCCATTGATTATTTACTGATTCTTTTATACTTTGAATTAATATAGACTTGATGCATGTATTCAATTAAATTGGGAATAAAGCCTAATCGTTTGTATTAACCCATTGAGGGGATTGCAGTTCGTGTGGGACTTGCAAGCTATCTGTTTAAATTATTATATCAATCAGGTTAACTGTATGTGTGGAACCATGTTCCCAGTTATACGAAATACAGCCGTTATGTTGTCCGTGAGACTCCGTCAGGAATGACACTTGATATCATATCTTGATGGTCAATGGCCACTAGTACTGGCTCATGGGATTAATTAGTAGATGTAGGTTTAGATTTACGCTTTCACAGTATCTCACGAGAACGCTTTTAGAAATATTTTTATAAAATGTTTTGGAAAAAGTTTACTCGTATTTTTATAAGATGATTTTTTTCTTTTTCAAATTAAGTCTTCCGCTGTGTATGCTAAATATCTTGATGTTAACAACCAGAGTACTACGAGGTGTTACAGTTATGGTATCAGAGCAGTTTCACTAGGACGTTCACTGATTTATTGTTTAAGTGTTAGAATTGTCTGTTGTGTGTCTCTTGAGTATCATGATAATGCATATTTCATCACTTGATTGAGCGTAGCTAACTCATACCTTGTTCAGTTGTGTGTAGATATCATGGCCCCTCGAGGGAGACCACGACAGGTAGTTCTGAACCAACTACCCCGTTGTTGTTGCTTTAGTGGCACTTCAGCAAACCTTGAACGAGACAAGGGAGGCTAACTTAAGGAAGATAGAACAGACTAGAGAGCGTGATGTAGAGCAGATGAGGAAGGCAAGTGAAGACCTCATAGCGCAAAACAGGCTGGCCAATGTAGAGATGATTAGACTACTGTTGGCCGAGGTACGTGGGGGACCTACACCACCACCTACACCGTCGGTGCAGCATCATGTTGCACAGATAGCAGTTCTGATACCCGTGGTTGAGCCTGTCGCACTGGGACAAGAGGGTATTGGCGATGCCCATCAGGAGGCATAGGCTTCTGTCCAAGGGGGACGAGTGAGGCAGGCAGTCATTGAGGTGGATAGATCAGCCATGCCACCCAGATTTGACAGGGAGACTAGAGAGTGTATGCTGAACGCTTTCAGGAAGCATTCCCCGCCTCACTACAAAGGTGGAAAAGATCCCATAGCAGCATTGGAGTGGCTCCAAGAGATGGAGTGCATTTTTCAGGTTATGGAATGCGATGCCAACACGAAGCTTCTATATGCGGTGTACATGTTACAGGGGGATGCAGCAGATTGGTGGAGTAATGTTTGAAACCCACTTGAGTGCCAAGGTTATGCTATTACTTGGTCGTTATTTGAGAGGCATTTTCTGCAGAAGTACTTCCCTAAAGAAGCCAGGGAAAGGAAGAAGAGTGAGTTTGAAGACCTCCGGCAGGGAGGCATGACTGTGGATGAATATCTGAGCAAGTTCAACCGCTTGGCAAAATATTCTTGTTATGGTAGAGCTCCCCTCACTCTACAAGACAAGCCCTTTTCGATTCAAGAAGGGTCTGAATGATATGATAACAGATAAGCTGGCTGGTCATTGCACCAAGGATTTTGTGGAGTTGATCAAGCAGTGCCAGAATATTCAGAAGCACTATTGTACCAGGGGAAAGGAAGCAGCGGGAAAGAGCTTCAATGGGAGGACTACGCCCTGAAAGGGTAAGGTCAAAGGTTTGCAAGCACAACAGAACACCGATTTTAAGAAGACTCCCTTCGTGAGGAATGAAAGCGGCATGTCTAGTGCCAGGAAGATCCTCACTTGTGCCAAGTGTGGGAAGAGGCACACATGTGTTTGTTGACTGGGACAGAATGTTTGCTTCAGTTGTAGTCAGGCAGGACACTATTCCAGGGAGTGCCCCAAGAAGACGGGGTAAGTTGCAGCCATTCAGGCGATTCATTTTCAATCTGTGCCTACTCAGAGAGCCATAGAGGAGCCTATGGCCCCCTCCAGTGCCAGGGTATATGCAGTGACACAGCAGGAGGCAGAGAGGTCTCCAAACCATATCAGAGGTACTATTTTTATTAGAGGATATGCGTTTGATGCCATGTTTGATTCCGGAGCTACCCACTCCTTCATATCGAAATTTGTTGCTAATGGGGTACATCTACCCATTTATGAGTTCACGCCTCCCATGGTAGTGAAGACTGCCACCAGAGACATTGTTTCTAGTTTTTTGAAGTGCAAAGAAGTTAGATTCATATATGAGCAAGAAGAGTATATGGTGGATTTGATAGTGCTTGATGGCATGAATCTACACATTATCTTGGGTATGGATTGGTTAGTCCGATATGGTGTGATGCTAGATTGTTGTAGCAGAAGGGTTTTCATTGCTGAAAAAGGAGAAAAGCTGGACAGTTTGTACTTGACGGCACAAAAATTAAATAAGGCTCTAAATGAGAAAATTTCTCAGGTATCCTACCGTGGGGTAACGACTCATCCCCAGGAATTAAAGAGAGATGTGGGGCACGACTAGCAAGGTATTCCTGCATAGCTGGCCCCACCGCACTGCCATCCAGTGCGTCGAAAGCTTCATCAAACTCTTCCTCCTTAACTTCCACTTCCAACTCAGGCAATATTAAACCAGGGATGGGTTCCGTAAACTTAACCATCATAAGAAGAAGGAGAAGGGAAACAAAGCCAACGAAACGTAAAGAAATATCAAAGGAGGAAGCCAGAAACACTGTACCTGAGGTAATACAGAGAATGGAGAGAAGAAGACCGGCACGAGAACACTCACACAGAGAGAAAACAAGGCAGGAGCAATAAGGAGGCTGAGTTTTGTGAAGAAGGTACTCAAGGAGGTCTTTCTCTCCTTTAAATAAGGAGAGAAAGATCAGGATCGTGTACACGTGTAGTGCCTTCCTTGCTCAAACGTAGGATAGCACAACCGTCAGGTAATGGGCGGTTATGATTATGGGCCCGATGGTAATTACAGGGGGACAAGACACCCCTCACGTCGCATTAATGCGCCGTGCCTCGTGACACTTGAGTGCCTGCTGTTAATTACAATAAAGATAGTGAAAGTAAAATGGCCTTGAAGGCCGTAGCATGTGAGAGGGAAAAACAAAATTTTTCATATGCGGAATTACACATGCAATCAAGAATCATGCTTTATGGCATGTGATGTTACCTTTGTTTGTGAGTTCAAAACTCCAAGACGATCAGTGTTAGGTTTGAAGGGTTCAAACCCTCTAACGTTGATCCAAACCACCCACATCAAGATGCAAGAACGCTTTCTTGAAAGCCACCAATTGACCACCACAGAGAGGCTTGCTATGCGCTCAATAGGTGAAGAAGGAGGCTAGGTATATGTGTTTAGAAGAGTGAAGTCTCCAGCATGAAAACTTCACAAGAGTGGGAATGATATATTGAAGAATTAGCTAGGTTCTTTTGAAAAACCTTAAGGAGGAACTCACCAAACTAGGCGCACAAGAGAGGGAGAGAATTAGTGTATCAAATCAGAATTTTTACTTTACTTATAATGAAAGTGGCGCACAAGTGAGTGAGACAAAGGTGGAGTTGTTGCAATTCAAAAATCCCAACAACCTCCCCTTTGAATCCTCATAAGACTAGGTCTTTATCTAGTCAAAATTCTGAACCAATGGTCATCATATGACCACTAATTCATGCGCCCCTATTCAGCCCAAAAAGGGTTCAGATACATTTGAGCTGTTACATTCAAGTTTGAACCAACTAGCTCACTGATTCTCTCAACAACCAAATCTGATTGGAGCTTGTTGGTTTGACAAGATGACAATCATCTCCCACCAAAATGGCGCCCCAAATCAGCCCTTGGAGATCTCCATAGATCTTCTCTTGATACAAGGGATTTGTTCCAACAAGATCTCATCTTATCCTTTTGTTATGAAACAACTTTTCATAGCCAATTCAAATTTGAATTCAAACATTTAAATTCAAACGTTCAAACATTTAAATTCTAAATTCAAATTCAAATTTGAATTCAATTTCAAAATTCAAATTTCAAATTCAAATTTCAAATTTCAAATTCAAAATTCAAATTTCAAAATTCAAATTTCAAATTTCAAATTTCCAATTCAAAATTCGAATTTCAAAATTCAAATTCAAAATTCAAAATTCAAATTTCAAATTCAAATTTCAAAATTTAAACATTTGATAATTAATTTAACTAATTAAATTAATTAGTAATGTCTTGTACCATCCAAGCCCATTAACAATACCATGCGCCCTATGCCTCTTAGGTGGGCTTCCAAACTTCATCTTGGGCTAACAACCATTATTAGGCCCAATACCTTTAATGCTATATCATCATGACATTAAGGTGTTAGTGTGTGACCCATTAGGTCCAACATAGTCACTGACATAAATGGGCTCGGGCCCAACAAGCCCACAACCCATTTAATGACAACACAGAGCACTAGCAATGCTTTGTTGCCCCAGAGCTAGTTAGATTAATTACTTGTTCATCCTATTACACATATTTGGTTGCCGTATGTATTTCTTTTCATCTCGGTTACCTTCCCACAAAACCTAGGGTAAGGAAGCGTATCAACCCTTGCGGTTTAGGATAAGCTTTATTCGAAATAAAGAATCTTCAATTTACTGACTCTAAAGGAAGATCATCTCATGATCTCTTTTACTATGCATAGATTCCCGAGTCCCTGTAAATGTCATCCTGATTCGTCCGGTTTACAGATAACCTAATCTCTCACAGAGATTTGACGAATTCCTTCAGCTTATCACCTAGCACTGTGCTCTTTCAGGACAACCCCAACAGTATACCTATGAGTCTCCATGTTTCAGGAAGACGAGGTATACAGTCAAAGCATGCCTTCTAGAACACAGTCTAGGTAATAACTTCTGGTCTAAGGAAAGACATACCCAAATATAAAGAGACTACTCTAATGATACTCTCCGTGAGATTTCCTCATAGAGTCTCTTTTGTGGGTCTGTTTGGTGCGAGCTATACCCTTATAGATCCACCCACGACTTTAGCTAAGATATCTCCATATCTGTAGCTCATGAGGTCTTTACCTTGCACCCGAATACAAGTAGATAAGTCGTGCTAGTCTTACCCGAGATCACTGATCCCCATTCTCAGTGTCTCTAGACTAGGAACATAAAATTAGGAATAAATATCGAGTATCCTTGAATCCTCATGATCGTGATCTCATCACAGATACTCAAGAGATACCTATTTTATTTCAAGGGGTTTATCCAGTTACTCATATAAAATATTAACAGTAATATTGAGACAAAATATGAAACAGGATAAATAGTGCTTTTATTTATTTGCGACAATACAAAGGTCCACATATGTCCTAATCTAATTAAAAGATTGTCTCTAGGACATCCATATACTAACAAGCTCCCACTTGGCCTGGAGCCAATCAGACCTAAGTCGTATACCCAAAGCCTCATAATGACTATCATGTTTTCTCTGAGAAATAGCCTTTGTCAGAGAATCGGCTAGGTTAGCATCTGTGGGAATATAATCCATCTTTACATCCATCCTATCAATGATTTCTCTAATCAGGTGATATCTGCGGAGCACGTGCTTAGATCTTTGATGAGACCTAGGTTCCTTTGACTGCGCAATGGCTCCAGTGTTGTCGCAAAGCAACTGTATGGGCTCATCCACGCTTGGAACCACCCTAAGTTCAGATATGAACTTCTTGATCCACACGGCCTCCTTAGCTGCTTCTGAAGCAGCTATATATTCAGCTTCTGTCGTTGAATCTGCTGTTGTTTCCTACTTGGAACTCTTCCAAGATCAGACTGCCCCACCACTTAAGGTGAATACGAACCCTGATTGTGACTTACAGTCATCTTTGTCACGTTGAACCCTTTCACTGTAAGCTCATTAACCCTACCATAGACCAGAAACGCATCCTTAGTTCTTCTTAAGTATTTAAGGATGGTCTTGACTGCTGTCCAGTGACCCTCTCCAGGGTCAGACTGGTATTTGCTCGTAATGCTCAAAGCATATGAGACATCTGGTCTTAGACATATCATGGCATACTTGATGGATCCAATAGCCGAAGCTTATAGAATTCCACTCATGCGATCCTTCTCAGGCTGTGACTTAGGACACATAGCCTTTGAAAGGTGTACCCCATGACTGACGGGAAGAAAACCCATTTTCGACCCTTGCATGCTAAACTTCTTTAGCATCTTGTCAACATATGTGGATTGAGATAAACCCAACAGCCTCTTGGATCTATCTCTATAGATCTTTATAAAGGCCGCTTCTCCCAAATCCTTCATGGTGAAGCTTTTGAAAGCCACTCTTTCGTTATTTGTAATGTGAGGATGTCATTTCCTATTAGCAATATGTCATCTACATAAAGTACCAGGAAGACGACATTACTCCCACTAACCTTCTTGTAAACACAAGCTTCATCCTAGTTCTTGATAAAACCGTTACTCTTAACGATTTCATTAAAACGAATATTCCAACTCTTTGATGCCTGCTACTATTGCAAGCATGATCCTAATAGATTTGATCATGACAACCGGTGAGAAAGTCTCATCATATTCAACTCCTTGTCTTTGACGATACTCTTCGCCACCAACCTAGCTTTGTAGGTATAAATGTTGCCATCTGCATCAGTCTTTCTTTTAAAGACTCATTTGTTACTGATAGGAACTATTCCTTGCGGTTTAGGAACCAAGGTGAAAGTAGAATTGACCTTGAAGGACGAAACATGCGTGAGGGAAAAACAAAATTTTTCGCAAGCGGAGCACACATGCATATCAAGGTAGGTCTGAAGGGTTCAGACCCTCTAACGTTGATCCACACCACCCGCGTCTAGATACAGGAACCCCTTCCAGTAAGGCCGCCGATTGATCACCACAATAAGGCTTGCTATGCGCTCAGTGTGTGATGCAGGAGGCTAGGTAAAAGTGTTTAGAAGAGTGAAGTGTTCTAAGAGAAAACCTCACAAGGGGGCGCATAGATGAGTAGAGAAAGGCTTGGCTTTGAACAAAAACCTAAGGAGGAACTAACTCCTCATTAAGCACACAAGAGGAGCCTTTTAAGTTTCAAAAACAAATCAGATTTTTCTCCCAAAAATCTGATCAAAGTGGCGCCCTATGGGGAGAGAATAAGTGGAGTTGTTGCATTTCAAAAATTGCCAACAACATCCCAGAATATTCTCATGAGACTAAGTTCAAAACCTAGTCAGAAATGTGATCATGAATCATCATATAATCAGCTATATGGTGCGCCTCATATAGCCTAAAAGGTGACCAGATACATTTGCGTTAGTTGCATTTCAAACTTAAATCAACTCACTCAAATATTCTCCCAACAGACCGTATCTTCTGGAGCTGATTTTGATGATCAAATCTAGCCAAAATCAGCGCCCCCATTATCCTTGGATTATGTCCAAAAGATCTCCTCCTGATATGTTCCAACAAGATCTCATC